TCGTATTGTTTCCTTTCTTTTCTTCATTTATTGTTATCTTGACCTCATCAGCCTGCTTATTTCTTTTCTGATCGACGTCAGCCATTTGTTCTCATAATCAAGCCAACCACTGGCCTCAAGTCTTCGCTTCACCTTTCCACACACTGTCACTCTCCAGTGAATACGTGGGGCTACACAGCCAATTACACACAGAGTCAACGTACGCGTATTGAGCAATCGTCGCTTCACCCTTTCCACACACCAACAAGTGAATACGTGGGGCTACACAGCCAGTTACACACAAAGTCAACGCGTATTCAGCAGTCGTATTCGAAGAAATTACCCGTTGCACATTCAGTATTTCTTCACATTTATCATGTCTTTATCATATTTACCAAATTTAACTCAGTGTAGAATATGTCGTGATGAGTATCAAAATAAAAACAGATATCAGTTCGTAGAAATTAGCCAGATTCCAATCTCCTACCAATGGAAGGAAATTAAAATGCTCATACAAATGCACATTCTCATAACAGTAAAACTGAAAAGACCTTTGATAAGTAACATAATTATAACATCTATAAATGTGAGCGAGCGTAGCGAGCGAGCTTTGGGAGATAATGCTCTTAGTCACTTGAAATTAGGGGCACGTTTAATGATGAGAGGAAAGGGGACACTTATCGAAGGGATAAGACACTTATTAGAAAATAAAAGGAGCACGTGTCAAAGTACAAAGGGTTATTATCAGAGGTGAAAATGGGGCACTCACTAGGGATCAAAAGGCACTTATGAGAATAGAAATTGGGCATTTGTCGACGGAAAAGAGGCAACCATCAGATTTCGATAGGGGCATTTCTGAAAAGGGGATAGGTTCCTCATACGAAAGGAAAAGGGGCACGTATCATTGTTAAAAAGGTTAACTTTATCAGAGGTGAAAAGGGGCACTTATCGCATTTGAAAAGGGGCACACACCATATATGAAAGAGGCACTTATGAGAATGAAAAAGGGGCACTAATAATAAAGGGAAATGTGCATTTGTTGAAAGAAAAGGAGCACCGATCAGATTTTGATAGGGGCATTAAGGGAGCTTTTATGAAAAGCGGATATTATGAAGGAAAAAGAGCACTTATTAGGAAGGAAAAGGGGCACGTGTCAAAATAAAAGGGGGTGTTATTAGAGATAAAAAGAACACTTATCAGGAGGAAAAGGGGGCACTTGTCAAAATAAAACGATTGTCTCTCAGAATTGAATAGGGTCATTTACCAGACATGAAAAGGGGCACTAGTAGGAGAATGGAAAAGGACTATTTTCATAGGTGAAAGGGGGCCTTTATGAAAAAACGAAGGACTCTTTGTTAAGTGGGGGCACTTATCATAAGGAAAAGGGGCACTTATTAGAAAGAAAAGGGGGCACATGTGAAAATATAACGTGTGCTTATCCGAGTTAAAAAGAGCCTAGGGAAAGGGTCACTTCTTACAAAGGAAAAAGGGCAATTGTCAAAGTAAAAGGGGCACCTCTAAGATTTGAATAGGGCAATTATCAGAGGAGAAGGAGGCGCCTAAAAAAACTGAAAAGGGGCGCTTCTCGTACCCGAAAAGGGGCACCTACTAGAGATTAAAAAGGGCACTTATGAGAATGGAAAATAGACACTTATTGCAAAGGAAACTGGGAACTTGTCAGGGAAAAGAGGTACGTGTCAAAATAAACGGAGCACATATCAGAGGTGGAAATGGGAGGGGCACTTTTAAAAATTAATAGGGGCACATATCAAAGTAATTGGAGCACTTTTTAAACAAAAAGGGGCGCTTCTTACAAAGTTAAAGGGGCACTTTTCCTATGAAAAAGAGGCACTTTTGGGGTAACTTGAAAAGTGCCCCCCTGCCCCCTGCCCCTCCCCCCCCCCGGGTCCGCCGCCTCTGGAGTCACGTCTTGCGCATAGCAGGCGCGGATCCAGGATTTTCCAATAGGGGGGGGGGGCCGGAAATTTGAAAATTGCGTGGACAGTTTTTCAACTCAACATACCAATACTGACAAGGTCATATTAGAAGCACCATACCGGTAATTTGTTTTGACATTTTCATTGGGGGGGGGGGGCTGAAGCCTCTTGCCCGAAAAAGTAATTTTCTGGTTCACAATTCGTCTAGTGAGCGAAGCGAGCGAGCAAAAATTTGAGGATAATATGTATTTTGTGAAAGTGTTATTTATCCCAAAATATACGAGAAAAGATATAACAAATTCATATTTGGGCAGCAAGCTGTCCCCTCCCCCCCCCCCCATTACGCGCGAAGCGCAGAAGCTTTAATGTTTATGAAATTATTAGAGAAAGAAGAGGATTCGATGTACCGTTCTCGGTTGTTAATCATTGTCTGAATTCAGTTTCCATACCCCCTCCTGCGCGAAGCGCGGAAGCTTTGACGTTTCATAAAATTATTTGAGAACGAAGACGATTCGTTGTACCGTTCTCGGTTGTCAATCATTGTCTGAATTCAGTTTCTATACCCCCTCCCGCGCGAAGCGCGGAAGCTTTGACGTTTCATTGAATCGTTAAAGAAGAGTACCGTTCTCGACTCGTCATCCTTGTCTGAATTGAGTTCCCCCCTCTCCCGCGTGAAGCGCCAAAGTTAAACGTTTCATTAAATTATTAGAGATAGAAGACGATTCGTTGTACCGTTCTCGATTCTTAATCAGTGTCTGAATTCAGTTTCTATACCCCCTCCCGCGCGAAGCGCGGAAGCTTTGACGTTTCATTAAATCATTAAAGAAGAGTACCGTTCTCGACTCTTAATCCTTGTCTGAATTGAGTTTCCCCCCCCCTCTCTCTCGCGCGAAGCGCAGAAGCTTTGACGTTTCATTAAATTATTAGAGAAAGAAGACGATTCGTTGTACCGTTCTCGATTCTTAATCAGTGTCTGAATTCAGTTTCTATACCCCCTCCCGCGCAAAGCGCGGAAGCTTTGACGTTTCATTAAATCATTAAAGAAGAGTACCGTTCTCGACTCTTAATCCTTGTCTGAATTGAGTCCCCCCTCTCTCTCGCGCGAAGCGCAGAAACTTTGACGTTTCATTAAATTATTAGAGAAAGAAGACGATTCTTTGTTCCGTTCTCGGTTCTTAATCATTGTCTGAATTCAGTTTCACCCCTCCGCGCAAAGCGCGGAAGCTTTGACGTTTAATTGAATTATTAGAGAAAGAAGATGATTTGTTGTACCATTCTCGACTCTTATTCGTTGTCTGAATTCAGTTTTCCCCCACCCGCGCGAAGCGTGGAAGCTTTGACCTTTCATAGTTTAATGAAATTATTAGAGAAAGAAGATAATTCGTTGTTCCATTCTCGACCCTCAATCCTTCTCTGAATTCAGTAGATTACCCCCTCCAGCGCAAAGCGCAGAAGCTTAACGTTTCATTAAATTATTAGAGAAAGAAGACGATTTGTTTTCCCGTTTTAGACTTGTCAAAAATGTTTCTTTGTCTGCTCCTTTTTCCGTCCTATGTCCTCTTACTGCCCCTACCGCCCCTAGCTAAGCATGCTTTAAAGGGAAAATGAAACAATCATGATTGTGATAGCATACAATTAGGTCAGTAGAAATGAAAGGGAAAAAAGATCTATGTATAAACCAACCATGAAATAATCGCGACCGGGAGCGTCATATCTTAGTTTTGTGTTTATCGGGCGAGGGCCGGAGCGGAGCGACCAAGTGAGATTTTGCAATGTAGAATGCTGAAATAATGCATTCTAGAAAATCCTTTAGTCCAATATGTACGTTCTTTCCGCTACATGTATATTTCTTTCTAGCTATATATCTAAATTTCGGGGGGGGGGGGGGACGTGTCTCTCTATCGGGCCCAGGATCGCCGCCCCTGTCCATTATCACTACCTACATGAGTTCAAATATAAGCACAAGCGAGTTGGTATGAGCTGAATCCAAATGAAGGGCAAAATAAGAGTTGTGAAGCGGCCCTACCGTTAATTTAAAATTTGACTGTTTAGTATATAGCTTGTATTTGAAAGACAACCAAAACATTGTGCCCTTTTCAATTTTTTTCAGAAAGCAGGGGCTGTTTGTAACGTTTAACTTTGAATCCGTGGCTCGAGATTGTATGCGGCCGGCCCGGCCCCCTCTATTCAATAACGTTTCCCAAGTCTTCTGGATGACCCCAAATCTCCCGATTACAGTTTTTCCCTTATTCGTCGTTACTGTCACTTAGCGCCATTTTCTTGTCTTTCCCCCTTTCTCACCCGACTTTTCTCTTCCCCCCTTTCTCACCCGACTTTTCTCTTCCCCTTCCCACCCCCCACCCCCACCCCCCCCCCCCCCCCCCCCCCCCACCCACTCAGTGTTATCTAGGGTATGCGCATGTATGTTCCCTCTCTTAGTTTGAAAGCACCCCTTTATCTTCGGTGTGTAGAGTCAGTGCGGGCCGGATTTGTGTGTATTACGGGCCGGACTTTGTTGCGTGAAAAGTAACCCTTTATCGGAAATTTTGGGAACACAAAATCGGTCCCTTCGACCCCGGAGTGGGAGTGAGGTGGGGGGGGGGGGATCTTCTTCTTCTTCTTCTTTTCTCTCTCTTTCTCTCTCTTCTTTCTTTTCTCTTCTCTTTTCTTTTCTCTTCTCCTTTCTTTTCTCTTCTCCTTTTTTTCTTCTCTTCTCCTTTCTTTTTTTTTCTCTTTTTTTTTGCGCCGCCAATAGGGGGGGGGGGGGGCCGCGGCCGTTTCTGCCCCCCCCCCCTGGATCCGCCACTGCATAGTTTTAACCAGATTCCTCTCAAGATTTTGTATACTATTAAAAAAAAATTACTTACTTATTTAAACAGCCTTTTGCATTCCATAACCTCTAGTCACCGTCAATATAATAAGCTTCAGTTTATGACTTCATTTCTTTCAATTTTATTATATAGTTATTAGGTTTACCTTCTAAAAATATTTAATTCAAAATAAAATATTTATTTAAAATTATTTTATGAGATTATAACTAACTTTAACAATCAAAATTCATGTTGTACTTTTGATATTATTACATTGATAGAACGAGGTTAGCATCTCCTCACGTCAAAATGGCTGAATATTTAGCTTCCATTTTTGGCACTGAAAAAGACAAGTAAGTATCAAGTTAAACTTGTTCTCGTTTGTAAATTGTGCATTTGAATTGATGAGATTTTGGATGTGAGTTTGGTTATTTATATAGGATATCGTTCGTGAATGGATCCTACCTTTATGTGAACAATAAGCCGTTATGATAGACCTAGAGACGAGTTCGTTTTGGTTCGGTTTGGTGTGATGTTGACGCTTGTGATGTGCGCATGCATGCTAGATCTACAATGTGCGAGTGTGTAACTGAGTGTGAGTGTATGAAGGAGTCGGGCTAACTCGGACCAAAGACATCGACAACTCGGCCCAGCTGCAAAAACGGTCAGTTTTTGCAGGTTTAGTGTAAGGGCGTTGGTAGGCTGATAAGCAGTAGAGTAGAGGCCCTGGTAATGGTCTGAGAATGAGGATCGTCCTTTTTAATTTTCGCACTTCGCAGATTTTTTTTTTTCTTCGAGACTAAATTCGAGGCTCCGCGGATTCGGGTTCCCACTTTGCGCGCTTGCGATGCGTAAAATAGATTCCACGTAATAAAATAACCCCAGTTCACCGTCTACTTTTATAAGTTGTCCGTCTTCCCGAGGATTTATCGCTCATAGACCTAGAGACAGTAGAGTAAAGGAGCCGGTAATCGGCCAGCTCCAGTTTTTGGCCGATTGGTTGGATGCAAGGTAAAATCCCTCTAAAATACATCGCATAATAGCATAACACATATCCCACACATACCATACCATGCCAGTGTCACTGAAGAACCACATTTGCAATGAAAAATATATCCTAAAATATCACATTTTAGCGATGTAATCGGCGGTCCCGCTACCCGACTCTGAAAAATCGAGTATCTTACGCGTGTCTGTAAGAAATATGGGTACCATAAAATGAGCTTTATTTCAAGTATTTTTCAGATTTAGAGCCCGATTTTGTGCTAGTCGCAAGCTCAAAAGTATCTCATCGCATGTATTAAATCAATGAAGCCGCACACCGCTACGCACACACGATATCTCTGTCTAATTCAGATTCCAATATCCGATCACCGCAGTACTAGATTTCGGCCTGGCGAGCTCCGTCGTGGGATATCTGCTTCTTCTCCTTCTCCTCTTCCTCTTCCTCCTCTCCCTTCTTCCTTCTTCTTCGTTTTATTCTTCATGATGATGTTTAAAAGAATTAAATAAAAAGTAGACAATGATTGATGAACAGCCGAAATAGGTATTTTTGCACAGGAATCTGTTCTTAGTTGAGCCCAGGCAATCACTTTGCCGCAAATGTGAGCTGAAAATTGGTTTCCTTGAATAATGAGATACTGTTCCATATTCTCAAAATATGCTACCAAACATCTCAACAAAAGTCACCGAAGATGGAGACAGTCTGCCAAAGAGAAAAAAATCTCTGTTCGCAGGGTCTACTAAATATAATGATAAAACCTGACATAGTAGTAGTAATAAGGATGAAATTTTATGCTAGGGCTCTGATCTGATCGGAAGACCGGAGCGACACCCTCGCATTTGGAGTTGTTGTACATGTAGACTATGTTTGTTGATATTTAGTGCCTTTTCATGACTTTGAAATAAATAATATTGGTCTAAGAGAAGAGGCAAAACATGCGGGGACGCCATCTTGGATTATAATGTAGGCATGCATTTATTTATTGATCGGCGATCAGAAATTATTATCCGATCTCACCTGATCGGCTCAAGATCGGCCCCCGGTCCGATGATCGTTTACAGACCTAACAAATAGTTACATGTACATGTTTCTAAAGAAAGAAAAAACAAAAGTGGAAGTGCAAACTACTGTAGCTCTAGAAAATTTTCATTGGGTAGATGTAAATGTAATGGTAATGAATGATATGAAGGAGCAGGTTGATAATATTGTGCTACAAAATGATTTGATGACATTGTCAATAAAAACGAAACGATAAATGACACTCCTTTAGGACAGATGTATAAAAACAAAGCAGTCCACTAGACCTAAAAATTACAGTAATTAAAGTATAAACATAATTTCCTATCTGTGGATACTACCGGTAGTTCCTAAACAGGTGAGTTTGTGGAAGCAGAATAAAGTATCTTTCTGTGGGAGATAGTCGAGGAAAATGGGATAATTTAACAAGTCATTTTTTACATATATTTTGATATGTACAGTAACAAGAACAGGTGTTTCGTTTTCATCTAAGACTTCTTTCACACAGCTACTGTACATGTACATCATGTACAGTTGCATATTCACAGGGATACATACATGTACTAGTATACACCCATTTCTTCCTAGGTCTTGCAGCATATTTTCTTTATCATATTTTTTGTGGTTCTATCCCCTGTCCTCTTTGTAAAACATTATAAATGCATGTTGAAATAATTGTCCCAAATTTTCTCTTCTTTTTTTCTTTCCTTTTTGTTCATTTCATAAAGGTTCTTCCTACTGTTCTTATTATTGTAAATGAATAAATGGAGTTAAAATTTTGTACTTCCCTTTATTTCCAGCTCTGGGTTTTATCAATCACGTTTTATTTTTTATACTACTGTTTTAGATCATACAGAAAGTATTTTCTAATTTTGTTTTAATAGCGGTGTTACCGGTAACTGGCAGCAATTATTCAGCATTTTTATTTTCTAGGGTAAAAATATTCTCTTTGCAGGATTTTTCACTTTTAGCATAAGGTTCTGCATTGGCAGTCAACTGTGTTGTGGCTCTCCCTATACTCCCTATTTTTCCTAATTTAGCTTTCCATAGCCCAAAGAAGAAGCAGTATTATTTTCTATTAGCAGGGTTGTACATGTACATGTAGGTAAATATAGGCTGCGAGACTGGAGTTTTACCATGGTCATTTACTCTTTTCCACTTTTCTATTCTATAGCGCAGGGGACAGCACAAGTGATTTGCATAATATATTTAGCTTGAGTTTATTTTTCTATCAGCAGAGGTATTTTTTCTATTATAGGTACATTTTAGGTTTACAGATGGAGTTGTACCATTTTCTTTATTTTCTATCTGGTAGCAAATTATAGCACAGGGCACAGAGCAAGTCAAGTCAATTTTTGTTGAATTTCTTTTTTTGTATAAACAGGCAAGCGTGAAGCATCTCTTAACTACATGTCAATTAACAACTTCAAAATCATTATTTTCTTTCAGTTTTAATTGTAATTGTAGTCAAGTTGTTGCAGATTTTAATAAAAATCAGTAATATTATTCATCTTTAAAAATAGCAAAGGCAAGTAAGAGAATTCTGCCATCCCCATTGAATTAATATTCATGTAGATTGGAAATTTGGAATGATATCATTTCTTCCCTCTAGCAATTCTAGCCAAGACATTGACCACCCTCATTTTTCCAACAAACAGAAACCTTAACAGTCTTGTCTTGTTCTGTTCTGCTCTCTTGTGCTTTAGACCAATGAATCTCTGCTCTATCTTGCAATGGGAATCGTTCATTTTACAACGAAAGGTAACAACCAATATGTAATGATACCTGGATATGCTAAGGAATGACTCGATAGCTTACAAGAATTGCTTTAGTGCAATACCTGTTTATGTATGTACATGCATCAATCATATTTGAATACTTGATAGAACTTAGAAGTTAGAGAAGGTATTAAAGGTAGTTAGCAATAAGTACTTTTTGAAAAACATTCAATCTTGGCAACTGATTGTATGGAGATTTTTTTTTTTTTTTTTTTGTAAGTCATATTTTGTTAATCTGAAATGTACTAAAATGTAATGTATCAAGATGCATATTGGCTTTAAACGTCCTTCGCAAAGTAAAATCTACTAGTACATGTATGTAGTTCTATAGATGGCAGTGATAATTCTGATGTATCTGAACTTGGACAATACAGTATGTTTTGTGGGACCCTAACCTCTTCAGCCACTTAGCAGCTTATCTGTGGCTTTTGTCCCCTGAGCAATGTATGCAAGAATAACATTTTTGAAATTCAAGTTTGAATGATAGGCTAATGTAATGACATAAACTACATGTAGAGCATGTTAGTTCTCATGAGGCAATCATCAAACATGCTTTGATCTTTACCTACCGGTATTAGCAGCGTTTGACACTAACAGGGTACCCATTTGTACTTTGGAACCCCCTCCCCCCACTCTTTTTTAATATTTTACGAGGGCACGTGCAAACAGACCCTACATGTATGAATTTTAATCGTGCGATATATTTTTAAAAACCTGTTAGTGTGGAGCTCTGTTTTGAAGAAACTTTTTCCCACTGCACCTTCTAATCCATTCTCTTTCCCATCTTTCCCCAATACAGAGTCAACTGCTCCTTCTACTTCAAGATTGGAGCATGTCGTCATGGAGACCGGTGTTCCCGCCTCCACAACAAACCGACTTTCAGTCAAACCATTGTGATCCAGAACATCTACCACAATCCGGCTAACACAGCACAGTCGGCTGAAGGGGGTGCTGCTGTTGGAATAGGCAAGTATTTACTTGGTATTGCTAGACAGGTGTAAGGATGCTTAGCTATAATTAACCTTTCTTTTGAGAAGTTTTAGTATGGAGGCTATGGAGAAGGTCTAGAAAGTAGATATGTTTCCAGCAAGGCGCAAAAAAAAAAATGCATACAAATTTTCGGTTTCTTTTTTTCCCCTCTCCTCCTGATTTGTTCAGGCCCTCTAATCAATTCTAACTGGCATCCCTGCTTGGATGGATTGAAAGTAGGTCCCAGAAACAAATTCATTTTATTTATTTATTTGTTGGTTTTTATTTAGTTAAGTCATGCATTCATTTATTAGTTAGTTAATTAATTTATTCATTTTGATGTGTGTCACAGCGGACCAATCTAACCTGAGTGATGTGGAGGTGCAGCAGCACTTTGATGATTTCTTTGAGGAGGTCTTCGCTGAGATGGAGCAGAAGTACGGTGAAATTGAGGAGATGAACGTCTGTGACAACCTTGGGGATCATCTGGTCGGCAACGTCTATGTCAAGGTGAGTAGAAGTGTTGTAGTTTGATCCCCGACACGGCACCTAATGTCCTTTGCAAGACATTGATCTACATTTGCCACACTCAACCCAGGTGATGTAAGTGGGTACCTGGCAGGAATTAATTCCTTGAAATGGTGGAGCGCTGTAATGGCAGCTAGGCTAAAGCTGTGGTAATAATAAATGCGTCTTGGAATAGAATTTCTAGATAGACGGCGCTATAGAAATGCCTATTATTATTATTATTATCAACATGTCATTCTATATTTGGGTAGAAGAGAGGTGACTACAGTGAAACCTGTCTATAAAGACAACCCTAGGGAGGCAAGCAAAGTGGTCTTTGTAGGCAGGTAGTCTTTATGTACAGGTTCCTTTAGTACATGTTGTTATGAGTAACAAAAAATTGAAAAGTGTGAGAAACCACTGAAAAGGAAGGAGAGGGCTACCTAACATGTGCATGAGCTTTTTTAAAAGCCATAATGTGCAAAAAGCCTGACTGCAAAATCCCGTCTAGCGCCATCTCAGGTCAGCTGTAGCAGTATGGTCCCGTAACTCACTGCTTCCCTAGCTGTGCTGTTGGTTCTCTCATTGAGTCCTCTGTCTGAGTAGGTTTTGGGTTATGCACTGTTGGCAAGTTGACCATGAGATGGCGCTGTGCAATAAACAGTATCAGAGCCACAGAGTTTGGCCAACCCTGTTCGAGTTGGACACAACATGGCAACTACTGCTTTGTTGGGCAACCACAAAACAAAAGAATATATGCCATGTTGTGACCCAGTGAAACAAAGTCGGCCAAACTCTGTGTATAGATGGCTCTGAACAGAATGCTAGGGAAGAAAATTCATCAGTTCAGTATCGCTTTGATCAAAAATGCATTTTAGAGCATTGTAATTGCTGATGGGGTAAAAGGTCACAGTGTGTTGCGGTGTTTATTTTAAATATTGATCTTTTCTCCTTCCCTTTCAGTTCCGCTATGAGGAAGATGCAGAGAAAGCAGTAGAGGATTTGAATAATCGCTGGTTTAACCGTCAGCCAATCAGAGCAGAGCTCTCGCCGGTCACGGATTTCAGGGAAGCCTGCTGCCGTCAGTACGAGATGGGGTAAGGTCATAGAGACCCCTTCGGTGACACATGTTATACCACACCTTGGGGGTGTTTCACATAGACTTAGATCGACTTTAAGTTGGACTTAACTATGGCAGGCGGTTATTGCCACTGGTTGCTCTCACCATTATGATATTTAGATAATGTTTTCCTTCAATAATGAATTATAAAAAAATGTAAATTCTGTAGATTTGTGACCATGATTTTGTACATCTCTTGAAAGCAAACAATGGCATGAATGGCCTGCCAGTTAAGTCCAACTTAAAGTTGATCTTAGTCTCTGTGAAACACCCTCCAGCAATAACCAACTTCCTAACTCCAACCTTGGATCCAATGCAAGACCTCACCCTAACCTTAACCCTGGATCTAATGATTGAGCAAGTATTGGAGCACTCTTATTTCTTTAATGAGCCTCTTCAGGCAAATATGGATTTTTCTATTTCATTTGTCAAATTGCATCGATTTGGGTATGAAATATCTTTCTTGGGAAGATGAATAGGATATCTTTGCCTTGACATAGAAGGGGTAAAACAAAAGTGAATTTTAATCTCTGTATGAGGTTCAATAGCTTTAAATATAGTTTGGTTCTGTGAAAATCACACAATTCAAAGTATACCTGAGTGAGACTCCATACAATGGATATTGTGCTTAATAGGCGCCTTGAGCATTCCCTAGTACAGATATGTAAATAGTTATCATTTCCCTGTCTGAATGCAGATATAGCATTACCCACACCAGAGCCATCTATACACAGAGGTTGGCCAACCCGGTTCGAATTGGACACAATATGGCGACTACTGCTTTGTTGGGCAAGCACAAAACAAAAGAATATATGCCATGTTGTGACCCAGTGAAACCAAGTTGGCCAAACTCTGTATATAGATGGCTCTGACCCACACTAGAGTACCTATATATAGAGAGTAGCGACAACTTGCGCATAGACGCCATTTTGTTTCACTCGCCCGGTCTACCGCGCGCGCGCGCAGTGCATGTATTAGTCCATGGGCCAGACCATGGCAGATATTGGTACCACCAGAGGTGGCAAAACCTTTGTACTTTTTTTTTGTTTGTTGGGCATATATACGTGTAAAAAGTTATGATAGCATTTCCGAATGGACAGCTTAGTCGTATAATCAGCAGTTTCCATGGCAACACAACAATCAAACCGGTATTATTCAAAGAAACAGTTAAAGTCATTTACAAATTATAAAAACACTCTTGAATGCGTAAAAATGTACAGTTTAGAATACCTCACCATAAAGGAAAGTAATGAAATGCAAATTACATTACCATTTATAACGGTTGCCATGGTAACGACCCCAGAATAGCCCAAAATCAAGGATTTTGGAGTAATTTCAGTATTATATTACACAATATGCTGATTCAAGACAAGTTAAAGTCTCCTTACCAAATTATTGAAAAACTATATGACTAATCTATCATATAAGCCAAGAATATGTTATATAGTACCTTCCCATTGTTACCATGGCAACATGAATTAGAGTTAACAAGATGCCCTGTAGGGTACGATATGCCATATTTTGGCTATATCTTGGGATAGGAGAGGTGTTGAAAGTTCATTTTGATGTCTATACCCAGGTTTTCAGGCACAGGGAACACAGCTAAAGCATTATTTTGAACATTAACATAGGACATCACCGCTATTTTTCATACATTTGCATAAAATCAGAGCAAAATGACCATGAAAGTATTCTGCCACTGCATATTACAAGCTGTTTCTTAGGGTTTAGAAAGATATAACATTGTGATGACTACATTAGATGCCAGAAAACTTCATTTGATTGTATGCAATGCTGGAACCAGCACAGATCATCCATCTCATTAATTTGTTTGCTATTGTATCAAAACCCAGACACCCTCTCTAAATGCCCAAACCAGACCTACCATAACCTCGACGATGTCCACATAATTATGACATCCAAAAGGCCGAGAGGGTCCGATTCTCCTGTATCGGGTAATCAAGGTAGACATCAAACAGCTTGAAGATGGGCTCAAAGGACTGATTCTCAATCATCTCACTTACGCAACATCTTCAGATAGGCTGTTCACGACTCTTGAGGCTTTCATCCAGGTGAACCTGGTCGTTAGTGTGGTTAGTTTCTAGACAGGGTAGTAAACCTTTCCTTATGCCTGTCGCATAAATGCCTCGTACAACAACTTGACTGCACGGTTGTACTTGCAGAATTCCATCACTCCAGCTACGGAGCTTATAGCGATGACACCTGACTCTACACATAGGTCCCTTAGTCCAGCATCTTGAAACATCTTCTCAATGGGTGACCACAGTGTGCATAACATGCCAAGAGATATACATCCCAGGGTCTTCACAGTTTTGATACAATAGCAAACAAATGGTCATTAATGAGATGAATCTGTGCTGGTTCCAGCATTGCATACAATCAAATGAAGTTTTCTGGCATCTAATGTAGTCATCACAATGTTATATCTTTCTAAACCCTAAGAAACAGCTTGTAATATGCAGTGGCAGAATACTTTCATGGTCATTTTGCTCTGATTTTATGCAAATGTATGAAAAATAGCGGTGATGTCCTATGTTAATGTTCAAAATAATGCTTTAGCTGTGTTCCCTGTGCCTGAAAACCTGGGTATAGACACCAAAATGAACTTTCAACACCTCTCCTATCCCAAAATATAGCCAAAATATTGCATATAGTACCGTACAGGGCATCTTGTTAACTCTAATTCATGTTGCCATGGTAACAATGGGAAGGTACTATTACATATTCTTGGCTTATATGATGTATTAGTCATTATATTTTTTCAATAATTTGGAAAGGGGATTTAAACTTGTCTTGAATGGGCATATTGTCTAACATATTACTGAAATTACTCCAAAATCCTTGATTTTAGGCTATTCTGGGGTCGTTACCATGGCAACCGTTATAAATGGTGTTGTAATTTGCATTTCATTGCTTTTCTTCATGGTGAGGTATTCTAAACTTTCATTCTCTGGGCCTGAAAACCTGGATATAGACACCAAAATGAACTTTCAACACCTCTCCAATGCCAAAATATAGCCAAAATATGGCATATAGTACCGTACAGGGCATCTTGTTAACTCTAATTCATGTTGCCATGGTAATAATGGGAAGGTACTATATATAGCATATTCTTGGCTTATATGATGTATTAGTCATATAGTTGTGTCATTATTTTGGAAAGGGGACTTTAACTTGTCTTGAATGAGTATATTGTGTAATATATTACTGAAATTACTCAAAAATCCTTGATTTTAGGCCATTCTGAGGTCGTTACCATGGTAACCGTTATAATTGGTGATGTAAATTGCATTTCATTACTTTCCTTTATGGTGAGGTATTCTAAACTGTACATTTTTACGCATTCAAGAGTGTTTTTATAATTTGTTAATGACTTTAACTGTTTCTTTGAATAATACTGGTTTTATTGTTGTGTTGCCATGGAAACTGCTGATTATATGACTAAGCTGTCCATTCGGAAATGCTATCATATCAAAATATTATGTATAGATATAGGACATTTCAAAATCCATAAGTAGATCTTGCCACCTTGAGTGGTACCAATAACCCAAATTTCTGGTCTTGGCCCATGGACTAATAGCGCTGCGCTGCGCTGCGCTGCGGAGTGAAACAAAATGGCGCCAGGAGTCACGTGACCATCAAATTCCGGTCCCCCTATGTCGCTACTCTCTATATATAGGTACTCTAACCCACACTAAATTCTACCCCCCTCTTGTGGTCTGTGACAAACAATAACCTATCATTTTCCTGTGTGTATCTCATTGCAGTGAATGTACACGTGGAGGATTCTGTAACTTCATGCACCTCAAACCCATCTCCAGGGAGCTCAGAAGAGAGCTCTACGGCCGCCGCAAACGCAAGAAGCGCAGCAGCCGTAGCAAGTCCACATCACCCGGACCCCGCGACAACAAGCGCCGATCGCGATCCCGTAGTCGCAGCCGAGGGAAGGACGATAGACACAGAGAGAGGGAGCGCTCCGGACGTTTTTAAGTTTTGGGCCAATTTAACTGTGGAGTCTTGATATGATACATGGTCGCTATGTCAGTAAGCTTTCCTGCAGGCAATATTCAGTGGACACTGTAACGTGTATATCGTCTGTTTGGAGTCAGAAAGGTGTTAATTCATATTCTCGAACAAAGAGTTAACGCCCTTCCGGCTTTAAACAGAATATATGAAGACTGCTCTTGGAAACCATTTAAAGCAGTCATTATGTAGCAGATAGTCATTTTGTACAAGTTCCTTCAATACAAGTTTCAATGAGGAAATTCTGCTCAAGTAAACAACAAATAGTGGTCCTTTTAGATAGGTGGTGTAGTATGACTGTATATTCAAGAAGAAAAGTCCCAAGGTATTTTTGTGCTCTATTTTTCTGACAACTGTATTAAAAAGAAAGCCTTACTACAGCTAGGATCAAACCAAAAATCAAGGAAAGGGTTTTTCTCATTGTCAACCATTACGCCTTGTAACACACACTGTATGGGGCAACATGGCCAAATGAAGTGAAACCTGTCTATAAACTTAAAAAGACCACCCAATGGAGACAAGATAAGTGGCATTTAAGACAGGTGGTCTTTATGTACAGGTTCCTTTAGTACATGTTTCAATGAAAAAACATTTTCAATGGAAACAAACAATGTGGTCTTTGTAGACAGGCGGTCACTAAAGCAGGTTTGGCTGTACCTTGGACATGCCCAAGAATTAGGGCCCCATTTCACAAACTTGTCATCAGTGACAAATGACAATTTTTGTTATAAGCTACTGAAATCCTTGCTACTGTTTGGTTATCAGCAGATTTATCACTGATTTGTGTCATTTTTCATTGAAAAAAGGCTTTGTGAAACAGGTCCCAGATCCCTCTGCATATTGGAGAAAGGAAATCACAACACCTTTATCAAAAAAGTTATCAGTTCTGACCAATATCTTTTATGCTGCATCAATTTAAGTAAATATTGGTAATTGTAAGATACATAAAGGGTTGTTGCAGTCTAACCTGCTTTATTGACCACCTCCCTTCAAAGACCACTTTTTGTATTTCCCTTGGGTGGTCGCTGTAAACAGGTTTGACTGTATTAAAAAGCTAGTTTCTCTACCCTCTTATTCACTTTATTACAAAATACATAATCTTGAGATTCTGTATCAAAGAAGAAGTGACGCATTTATATCAAGACTCCACAGTGTATGTAATATTTTTTGTCATTTTGAAGGCTTAGGTGAACATTAATAAAAAAATGTTTTAAAAAATCCTGTTTGGTATGTTTAATTGTCATGATTAATTCTGAGATCATGCCTTTGTCTTTAAATTCATTGCTGGCTATTGAAAAGTTATTCTAAAGTCGCCTCCGAAAAGAATGTTTACACTGAAAACTGAAAAGAAATTAAAAATGTACCTTTTCTGGCCAAAATAAGTCTTGCATGTTTTCTCCCTGAGCAGCTGACAATTCAACGAGTTTAGCTGAACTCTAACTTACTGCATTTAATTATTGCATTATTTTCAAGACACTTACATACACAACCAGGAGAAGTTGCAGATTAGAAAAGAAAATGCTTTAGAAAGCCCTTGATATTCAAGTCACATGTTGCCCTATGCCTTCAATTCAAATTTTGTTGTAAATCATAATATTTCTCATGTTTTTTCCTTTCATTCTTTTTTTTATTTGATGCTACATTATGTAGGGATCAACTTTAGCTATATCATTATTTGTACATCATTTTGCTTTCAAGGGTCTATTTTTTGGTTAATTGCTATTATTACTGCAGTTTCGAAATGTATGATAATTCTATTGCAGGTATTATTAAATAATCTTCTCCAACATGCCAATTTATCTGTTTGCAGGGATGGATTGTGGCCTTTCATTACACATTTTCGTTGTCCAAGAAATAACACTATTTTTCTGGAATGTTATTAAGTATTGGATATTTCCCTCAAAATAAAACACAATGTAGTAATTTCATTTTTGCTGTAACTTAATGTGTATATTGCATTCCACTCCTATTTTGTTCATTTCTCTAAAGTGTAAATATATTCTGTCCCACTGTTCTCTGAAACTTGATCTGTCTATCTCTCTCTCTCTCTCTCTCTCCCTCTCTCTCTCCTTTTGCCCACTCTGTTTGTTTCCTCAACAATTTCATCTTAATTATGAAGTACCTACCGGTAATACTTTACATGTACATTATTCAACAGTATGTTGATTTTTGCAAATTGAGAAAGGTTATTGTACTTTCCTGGAAGCAAATTGATCCATGAATGTTTATCAGCAACTTTTGTCATGAACTAAAATGTTTTGTTTTTAATGTGTCTTGGTGAAAGGAACCCACTACTGTTTTTGTATTAAAATCAAATTTTCCTTTTATTGTGAATATGAGTTCATATGTAGTTCATGAAGTGTATTTCGTAGAATGTAGGTGAATAGTATGACTGATGGTGAGAATGCTCCCCAGGGAGTGGAGATTGTGCATACAGTGTGTGCGGGCAAGCACTGAATCCAATGACCGGGGTAATAGTATATTTGTAAAGCGCTTAGAGACATTTGTATTAAGCGCTATATAAAAAATTAAATATTATTATTATTATTAATTATGTTGATGAAGAAGACAATGAACAGCTTTAACAGAAATAATGTATAATAATATGATTTGGGAAAATGCTCTCTTTATGTCCTTGTATTTCACACATCCAAAAAACAAGATTGCTAGTTTGTTAAAAATAGAAAGGAAAAGAGAGAGAGAGAGAGATAGAGAAAGAAAAAAATAGATGTGCATAAACGATCAAACACAGGAATTACAATAACTTCCTCCAATGTTCTTATTCTCCCTTTCTCCCCCCCCCCTCTCTCTCCCCCCCCCCCCCTCTCTCTCTCTCTCTCTCTCTCTCTCTCTCTCTCTTTCTTCCTTTCTCTCTTTCTCTCCACCTCCCTCCTCTTTCTCTCTATCTCACTTCCTATCCTTCTATCTGTATATTTATTTGTCTCAGTCGATGCGTCTCTCCGTCTGTCCCCTTATCTATTCCTTTATTCTCTCCGCTCCGAGTCCGGTAATTTATATCCAAATTATGACATCACTTTTCCCGGTGAAAGTTTTAATTATCGCCCGGGCTGCCACAACTATTGTCTGGTATTACAACGATCAGCTGAATTAGATCATTCTGACATATCAGCGGTACGGAAGTCAACAGCCGTAGTGTGTGTTATGATTAAAAATGATTCACACGTTCGTACTCAATGACTGGTGACAGACATTCTGTTACTGACACGGTAACTTGGATATCAAGAAGGATTATATGCATACATCGCCCCCCCCCCCTCCTCCTCTCTCTCTCTCTCTCTCTCTCTCTCTCTCCCCCCTCTCCTATCCTCCCCTCTGCCCTCTCTCCCACCCTCGAAATTTCAGCTTAATGATATACAACTGAATAGGGCAACAGTTGATAAGCATAATGCTGATTAAACGGCACGAGTGAACATAAAAAAAGACATCCCCTCCCCAATAAAAAATAAATAAATAAACGGTTGGAAATGGGAGTATAGAAGGAAGGAGATTTTATTCAAGTAAGTAGAGAGAGAGAGAGGGGGGGGGGGGGAGTGGGTAAAGCGTTAATAGATAAAGTATATTCATTATGAGGAATACATTATTATTGACCAAGGCCATATTTTAAAAGTTCCAATAACTGTTATAAGCTATTGAAATCGTGGTATCTGATTGGCTGCATGAGAGCAAACTTGCCATATCAATCTATTTTTGTTTTTAAATTGATAACAAGTTTTATGAAACAGGGCCCAGGTATATACTCTCAATAGGTCATGACCCTCGTTCTCATCACCTAGCGGCTGTCTGCCCATCAAAAAAGATATATAGTCACCTTCGAGACTAGCGGGCCCAGGAAATGAGTGTAGTCATGACTTCCGGCTACCCCAGACCTCTCCCGAGTGCTATCACTGCACTCCCGTAGGAATTCATACAGTCCTTTGTAGTCTCTCTCTCCCTTTATTTTACCCTCCCTTTTGACACAAATCGGTAGAGGGCGCATGTACTCTGTGTTGATACGAAAGAAATATCTGACAAAGTTATAACTAAATTATTCATACCCTTACCAGGTTTTGCCATTTTTAAGTATGTGAAAAATTGATTTATCCCCTTTAATGTTTCTGGAGAAAAGTATTCAACGAAGGCTCTGATTCAGCCAGTCCATCTTTTATTCTTGAATTACGAATAACACAAAACTAATCACATTACAAGGGGTATGAATAATTTAGCTGTTCAATTTCATTTGTTTCCATAGATTCATAAAAAGACAATATAAATTATAATCAAATATGAAAGCATTAAAACAAAAGATGAACCTGCAGAGGGGGTGATAACAAAACAGAGGTTTTATCGGGGATCATCTCCTGCTTAAAACTACACTATCAATATACAATAGTCTTATTCTTTTTAATTGAACAATAAACAGATACAAAAGAATTTATATATATTACAAGCAAGTCTATGTGTGGTGTGAGTGGTAGTGGGGTGATGGTACCAATAAATACAATATATAGAGGGATTGGATGATATGAAAAGAAAAGTAGTACGAAACACCATACGAAATCAAATATTGTATCAACTTTGAATTAAAAGAAGTGATGAGCAACTGACATCAATATGTTAACTGTATGTACCTCATCCTTGGTGGCTAGTTATCTCAGACGACATCAATCGCATTTGGCAAGGTCTAGTTCTGTTGAAATGTCCAATTTGGCCGGTTGGGCGGGCGACGTGTCAATGAGGCTAATGACATTTTCGGAACAAGTAAGGTTATTACAGTTAAAGTGACGAAAAAGGGAGAGGCTTCTGAGAATGCTAATGACCTGTGTCTGTTCACACGTAATATCTGGTAACATTCAGCCAGCCCCCCCCCCCCCCCACCGGTCGATCTACATAATATTTGTGTACGGTTATTACCAAAAGTAAATTAATTAAGTATTTCAATATCAACGCATGAAAAATGAATGTTGACAATAAATTATTATTCAGTTCATGTGCTTGACATTTTCCGGTAATTTTCGTTAAGTTTCTTTAGCACTGCAAAGCCCTCTGAATCATTACATTCTGCAATTGAACTTAGGTTTTACTTTAAGACATTTTGGACTATAATGAGACAGATTCAACACTGCACATTCACTGATGCCTTTCATTGCTTTCGAAACAAAAATCATGAGATAAAGTTTCGGGCAAACATTGCTGCTGCCGATGCGTTATACGATAAAAAGGACAGCTTATGTTGGGGTGTGTATAGAAGTCACGCAAAACAAACACTCTCAAATTATTATTATTCAATAAATTCTGAGAATGTATATTATTATCTAGAGTCTAGATCTATTAGGAATAAATCTTTGTCAAAATCATTCCATAAATTGGTGTAAAAAATAATTATTCCACCATTATGACCAACAACTTGTATAAACGAATCAAAATGCCATTGACATCGGATTTTGTTTCGATTTTCGCCTTAAGTTAGACTACCGTAGATGACAAAAGCTACCAGTGCACTTTAATTCTTGGCACATATTTCCCGGCTCGGTCATTGACCTTTAATGTACACGGGCATCGTCCAAAGCAGTGTCACGTGACACATAACGTCTCATCGCCGCTTTCTCTCTAAATGAACGTGAGACTGGATAAAGAGGAAAAGAGAAATCATCTCCAATATTAATCATCTAGGACCCGTTTCACAAAGCCTTTTTTCAATGACAAAAAACAAAAATCAGTGACGAATCTGCTGATAACCAATCAGAAGCAAGGATTTTACTAGCTTATAACAAAACCTGTCATGTGTCACTGATGACAAGTTTTGTGAAACGGGGCCCTGATCTGAGTCCAAAACCGGTGATCGAACCCAATTTGTAGTCCAGTGAATCAGGTTTAATGCAGGTGCTTCGTTATATCTGTCAATTTAGAGGTTGTTATGAGCAGAAAGAAAAGTTAGACATTGTTTCGCTGTAGCCTATCTTATACATTATGGTTGCATAGGCCTATCCCTCACTCAAAAAAAATTGTTGGCTTAATAATAATTGTCTTGAATTGATAAAGGAGGGAATTCACAGGAATGCAGGGTGAATTGTCTTAAATTGTTAAAGAAATGAATTCACAATATTTCACTTCGTTTCCATTGAATCGATAATTTAATTTACGGACGTCTAGAGAAAAAATATTAGCTGTTAAAGAAAAGAAGAAAAATAATATTGGTGACCTATGCTTGTATAAAATCATCACGTAGAGTACTGTTATTAAAATTAATTTAAGAAACTATTTTGTTTGGCATGTTTGAGATGTATCTTATTTGAAGAATAAGTACATGGTTGAATCTGCTTTCCCTGCACACGTTTATGTAGCCTACTAGCTATGTTACCCTGTCTGTGAACCTTGTATTCAACCTCCGTCCTGCGTTCTTCAGGTTAATTCTTTATTAATGTTAGGGTTGGATATTTGTACGATACAGATGAATTCATGATTTGTTTTTGTTTTTTTGTTAACATGATTGTCCTGATTCCCAAGATAATCATCAACATTTGATGCAGCTATTGATCATAATTAGACTAACTCACCAATATGAATTAAGCAACAATTTGAGACATATTGCTTTGTCGTTTGGGGCGTTATTATTATTTCTTTAGATTTAGAGATTAGAAGTCCATCGATATGTGAATGATCGAAATCATGGCGTTGAATAGATGTTTATGAAATCATATGATGAAATCTATAAAGTATTGTTAATGAAACGAACATTCCCACACAATTTGGCGTAGTATGTAGAAGCCTGAACTATTCAACGTGTCAACATTTGTATATATATTTGTCGTTGAACTCTTAAAAGCAAAATATTACTGATAGATCAAAGAAAGATATTGCGTGAGAAAATATTTCGGCTCCCCCAAAAAGGCTGTTACTAACATTTATAATATAATATGGCTCTTACAACCATTTTGCATTTTTGCATTCACAGGTGCAAACAATAATGTTTTAGGCTACTGTACACACATGAAAAAAAATAGCAAATGAATCACAAATACTTTGTTGATCGATTTGATCCCTTAAAACTTTGCCTGTGCTTTCATGCAGCCATTGACACCCCACCACCTCCCCCGCGAAAGATTATTTTGATCTGTTTCCTAAAGTCTATCATCAAAGTAACAAGAAATAACAAATACCATGATCAAAATCGGATCAGTGAAGTAAACAACACATGAAGGCATATTTCTAGGTTATTGTTTTCATTTTTTTTTTTTTTTTTTTTTTGGGGGGGGGGGGTCTTTATTTCTTTTCTAGATGCATTGGATAGCACTGGTTTCTATAGAGGTGAATGACCGGGTACTATTCACCAATGGTTGAA